GATCGACAGACATTATTAAAGAAATATGAATCATCTTATTCTAATAACGGTATGTCGAACTAATTACTTTATATCGTTTTGTTAAGTAAAATATCATATACGTCGTGATATTTCTTTAAGCTATTAAGTAAGATGAAATATTAATTATTTCATTATAGCAACATTTTAATTACAAATAACTGTTTTATCTTTTAAAAGTAGATATTTGTAAGTTACAATGTGAAACGTATTATGACTCTGTCAATCAAACCAGTTTATGAATATTTATCGTCTTCCTTTCAATTTTAACATGAATCGCTATATATATTTGAGATTAGAATAACCTTTCTAATCTTTTCTACAAAATAAGTTAATTAAGTAACAAATGTAAAAAAAATAAAAAATAGTTTATTTTGTTCCATTTTTTTCATGTTTTTTATTTCTTATTGAGTAACTAATTCTACATATTATATTTGTAACAATTATGTTTGGTTAAAAATAAAAAAAAATTCTTTTGTAAGAAGAAATCAGAGAGAGAAGATATATTTTAATAATAATTTTTAATCTATAATTTCTACTTTTTCATAGATAAATAATTAAAATATTAAAATAAATTAGTGTGTGTTGTTACCCAATTTCTTTTAATTACAAATAAAGAAAGAATAATTAATTTTTTAACACAAAAGATTTACTGGCTAAGCTTAAATATTTTATTCTAGAAGACGACTTTTCTACGAATTGCGATTATAGTGGCGTTCCAAGTCAAGATCTTGCAAAAGCCCACATCCTCTTTCCGACTATCGCATCTGTAATCGGACGTAGTGGTCGAGTGTTGGTAACGTTACACTCGAATTTTTACGAGCTTGGTGGAAATTCCTTGAATTCCATTTATACCGTAACCAAGTTAAGAGATCAAGGTTATCAAATCGGTATTACGGATTTTATTACGGCGAAAAATTTAGCCGATGTATTAAACCGGATGAAGCTCATGTCATCCGATGAAGAACTTCTGAAAGAAGCCATTGATCAGAAATCATATGTCTTTGAATCATTAAGTGATTGCCATAAGGAGGACACGATCGAGTAAGTATTGTGCAAAATTTTAAGTTTGTAACAATCATATATGAAACAATTAGGGAACATTTATTTAAATTTGCAGAATAATCACAGAGAGCTTTTACTCAAAAGCCGACTTGGAACAGTGGTTAATACCGGACATAACAAGGGGTGATTATCGGGAATTAATGGAAATTATGTGGGAGTTTTATGTAGAAAAAGACCTTAGTTTCGTGATAAAGTCGGCGCAGAATGGCAAAATAATCGGGGTTGCTCTCAACTTTGATCTTTGGGATGAACCTGCAGTGGTACTGAAATCTAAATTAATGATTGTTTTCGATTTTCTCGAATATGTGGAAGGACCGATCAGAGACTGCAAATTACCAAAGAATAAAGGTCAGATAATTCACATTTCCATGATGGGGACAAACAGTGATTTGAGTCCCGCGGAAAACGTGCTTGTAATGAAACACATGGAAGAATACTGTTTGCAACTCGCCAAACAAAAAGAGTATATCGGAATTTTCACCACAAACACTAGTCCGCTCACACAGGTAAACGATGAACATAATCCTTTGATAGCTTAACTAATAATGCTAATAATAACAAAGAAAGTACTTATTATAATACATAATTTTGCGAAATTTATGACTTGTATTTTTTTATGTAAACTTCAGCAACTTGGTACGGACGTACTCGGTTATGAAACAATGCAGATATATCAAGTGAATAAATACGAGACTCCCGAGGGATATAAACCTTTCGGTAAAGCTCCTGACAGCCAAGTGGTAATTTGCGCATTGAAGATGATCAACTAAAATTATTTTAATAAATATTAAATAGTGTGAAAAGATAGTATTACTTATTAAAGGTAAAGAGTTGTTCCATCTTTCGAAAAACTTCAGCTCACTGTCTTACTCTCTTACTTTCTTATGCTCTTACTCTTTTACTATATTGTTTATTCAGTAGGTAAATTATCACACAGTTTATCTGAAGATGGAACAACGGACCCTAAATAATGTAAACATGAACTGTTATCTTTCATCGATGCATCTGATCATTAGTAGTCCATTAAATTCAAAACATTTTCATATCGCATTGTTATTTACTGTAAATATCAATGATAAACGTATCATAATAATTGCACGAAACAGCAACTGATTGACTATTTATAGTCATTTATACCTATATACTGTTTGTCAAATATAACTATTATTTTTTCGTTATTATTCCTCATTGTTTTTCATAAATTAGAAAAAATCTTTAAGATTATTTACTTTAGTGTAAGAATTTATTTTATTATTTATTGATATTTTGTGTATATAAAAATACGATATAATTAAAAAAAATTTCAATTATAAAAAATTTTCTAAAATTAGTAAAATTGCATGTTATATTGTAATATTTCAACAATAAAGACGCATAAATTTCATGAAAATATTTTAATTAAAACATTTTCAATAAAATGTACTAAAAGTATTCATTGCAAATATTACAATAAATACTTTTACTAAGCTATAAATTTATTATAAAAATTTATTGTGATTTGTTTTTAAAATGTTAGTAGTATGCTGTTATTATTATGTTATCGCAATAATTATCTTTTTAAGTAAAAAGTCTTAACCGAGAAGTATTTTAAATATAAAGTATTATAAAAAAGAAGCAACGGTTTTATGATAAATTGTAAGTTATTTCTTAATATAATGTCGTTAAATTATTTAGGTTGTAGATTCATTCTTTGACATATCATAGTAATGTAAAATAGGAGTATAGTAATTATTTATTTTACTTCACATGAATAAAGTACAATAAATTTGTAATAAAAATAACACTTTAACGATTGTTAAATAAAAATATAAGTGATGTAACATTAAATTAGTGCATATTTTTTTAATAAACGTAATATTTTACAAATCAAATACAAGTAAATTGCCTATAAAATATTATAAAATGATATGATACACATAATATGATAATAGATATACACTCACACGCAAAAAACCGGAATTTTAAACTGTAAATCGGGGGCAATATTTAATAACACACACAATATGGTTACTCATGGTTCGCACAACTTGTTTGACTTCATATAAGTGACATTATTTTTCATAAAATCGTGATTCTCTGATATAATAATAAAAAATGATTGTAATTCTTATGCAGCAAATCGAACAATTTGATGACCAAATTTCAACAAGTATTGGACATTTAATAATTTTGATCATTAACTCATATATTACAGCATAATCTCTCTTTAATACAGTTTTTTTCGAATAATTTGATTTTGCATTATTAATTGTACTGATGAGAACCCGAATCGAGGGTTGAAACGTATACGTGTATTTACTTGCTTAATAAATGATGTTGTAATTTACATTCGAACATCTTGTGTTGGTTCATTCGGCATTACTTGTTAGATTTAATCACTTTTGAGCCTATTTCGTTTATATATATACACATTACTTACACACTAACAATCACGAAACTCTTATAGATAATTAATCAAAAGATATTGCCCTTAAATTACAGAAATTAATATTTATATATTATTAATATCAATTACAAAGTATAATTTAAAAAAAACTCACGAATCACAAGGATTTTGCTTTTTATTAAAAATCATAATTATATTGATAAAAAATATATGAATATTAAATTATTGTAATTTAAGATCAAATAACTATAGATAATCTTTTGAAGAAAGACTTCTATTAATTAATAAGTGATTGGCAGCTTTATTTAATTCACAAAATCGAAAGCGAATCAGCACAGAGATTTTTATTTTTACCGAAATCTATATATACATACATATATATATATATATATAATTTTTCGAAACAATCGAGAAAATTTTTTGTCGACAATATATTTAGAAATTTATTTTAATTAAGATCGATAATAGGCGATCTTTTATAAGAGTGGAGACTCCCTCATAATCAATTCAGAGATTTATCTCTGTATTGATTGTATATCGCCGTTACCTCATCTAAAAATACATTTAGCGAAAATATAATTTTTATTCGAAAAATATCACATTCTCGGAATCGCACGAGAATATCGAGATCTACTCAGCTGTGCGAGTCAGAAAAAAAAAGGTAAACACAGATAGACACGAGACTAGCAAGCGAAAGCAACGGAATAAAGAGCATAATGACTGATAACATTTCTAAACAGTATTTAATATAATATATATTGCTACTATAATCCGATATTTCAGTAAAATATAATATAACACGCGCTGTAATTCGATGTTAAGAATATGGGATATAGCCGCTGTATCTCGCACAGGCAAGAAAATAAAGTTGAAATATCGCGTTAATTTAAAATCGTTAAAATCGAAACTTTCTAGAACATTCAAGAAAACAAATAATTTTCTCCAAGACTAAGGTCAGACAAGCAATCGCGGGACGAGAGCAAGACATTTCTCCGCCGACTCTCGTCACGTGAAGTTATGTAAAATCTGTCGCGCTCGGAAATAAAGACTTTTATACGATATTCTATATAGAGTCGATCATTTTATTCTTTGACAATTAAACCATTAAAAACTCCTAAAGAAGCATAGAGTCAAACTGATCGGGCACGTATTAATAAATTTCTCAACTTATAAATTTAATTATTGAACTTAATATAATTTCACTTTATAAGATTACATTTAACAATACAAACCCTCATCATCCGCAACGTACTAATAACGATTTAATCCTCTTGTCTAATGCTTGTGAGTGATCACTTACACTATCCAAAAGAACAAATAGTAAATATTATCATAGCTTATTTTCTTGAGAACTTCTTTCTTGTAATATTTTGATTTGCAAATTTTAGATATTATAAAGTATTGATGAACAATTAAATGTATCATAAATTGTTAATGAAAAATTTCAATATTAATTTTTATTGTAAATTAAATTTTAGATTTTTGCTAACCATACAAAGCAAGAAATTATAATTTCTTTGAAATTTTGAAAATGAGTACTTTGCAGCAGCAATCGATTTTACAAGGTCAACAAACAGGAAGGAGTCAAAAGAAAGATTTATTGCACGAATTGTTCAGTAGCGCAGCAAAATCTCATCCGAATCAAATTGCAATATTTTACGAAGGTAAGGATTTGCTTCTCGATATAAAATATAAAAGAAATCACTTCATGAAAGTGGTATAAAGTGTTTTTTGGTAATTTAATTAATCAGTATTGTATTAGTTTTAATAATGCCAACAATGCGGGCGTTGTATCAAAAGGAAATTTATATATCTAAACATTATTGAAAACTCGATACAGATGATACCGAACAGAAATATGAGATGTCTTTTAAAGAATTGGATAACATCACCAATCAGTTGGCACGAGCTTTACAAAAGTATGAAAAATTTGAAACCACTTCTCAGTCTCTAATAGCTATCTGCATGAAACCGTCGCATCGCCTTCTAACTGTGTTACTTAGTATACTGAAGGCAGGAATGGCTTATCTACCTTTAGATGCGGAATTTCCGATGTCTAGAGTCAAATACATTCTTGAGGAAGCGCAACCATTATTAGTATTGGTCGAGGAAGGAGGTAAATTTCCGTTTCTACAGAATACAAATTTCAAAATAAATATCATAAAAAATTTAAGATTATTGTTCAGTGTCTAAATTGCATTTTATATGATTTTTATTCTATTTTTGTAACTATTATATAATCTATCTCTTCTTTTTAATTTAAGTTTTATCTTTTAACTAATTTTTCAATGTTAAATAAATATAAAATATACAAAAATCAATTAAATAAAGTGCGGCAGTGTTTTATAACTAATCTTCGTTAACATCAAATTTTAAAAACATTTTTAATCATAATTATTAACTTTAAAACGTATAAAATTAAATCTATTTCAAACTGTAAATACGAGATTTACTAAAATCTCTCATACAAAATTTCATAATACCATTTAAAGATACTTGAGCTTTATAGTAATAAATTATCGGAATTGGCTATCAAAGCCGATATCGGACTATGCATTTATCATTAAATCGAGTATACAATATCAACGTAATAAAAAAACAATAATTCGATAAGCGCGAGATATCTACGTATAGTAGTTCCTTCTTGTTACAATTATGTACTTTTTCGCACAAGATCGTGAATGTATTAAAGATGCTGAATCTTAATAAATATTTGTTTTAATAGCGCGAGCTGGATTTATTAAATGTAAACATATATTTACTTATAAGAACCATTAATTCGATTTAACTATTATTTTTTATTAAGTAAGTATTTATTTAATGAAAATTAAGTTAGTATTACTAAAAAAATATGAATGAAGATTTATTAAATGTTTTCTCAGCATAAATATATACGTGAAAGAATCTTTTCACGTTTTATCTCAATTGAATATAATTGAATTAATATTTCTTCCGCTTTTAATTATTTCTTTAATATAAATAATTAAACATAAATACAATTCTACTTACAGTAGATTTATCAATCTATGAGGGAGATTTGGTCGTGACGTATGAACAACTTTTGAAAGAAGCCAGACAAGAACAAGAATATGCATTACAAACCAAAGAGGATTTGAATCAACTTGCAATCGTTCTTTATACTTCCGGAAGTTCAGGAGTTCCCAAAGGTATCTTTTTACGCTTCGGTAAACTGTATTTCGCTAGAACTGTATTTTGTGATATTATATGTCATATATATATATTACAATAGATAAAACGCAAAAAATGTACACGATTTAATGCGTAGTGTATATATATATATATATATACTCATTTTTATTCATCACAAGCTGCTATTTATAAATATCTTTGAAATGTCATACTCTCTATTTTCGATGTTAAATACGGCGAATACAAACTGTGTTTCTGTTGTAAAAGGATAATAATCTTAATTTCAATTACACACAAAAAAATACAGAACAGAAATAGAAAATGATTACCTATTGTGTAATTTATTGTTTGAAAGAGAGTCTGGAAAAGCATAATCATTTGTAATATACACATTTATGTTCTTAAAGGAGTGCTTATACCACACGCTACTATATTGAATCGTCTACAATGGCAATGGAGGGAATTTCCATATGCTAATGATGAAGAACAGTGTATTTTCAAAACTTCCCTTACTTTCGGTGACAGTATTGCCGAAATTTGGGGACCTCTTCTACAAAACCGAACCCTAGTAATTGTACCGAAAAGTATGACTAAAAATCCGGAAAAGTTCATACCGCTTTTAGAAAAGCATCAGGTAAAAACTAATTGACTTATCGCGTATAATTATAACAATATAAGAAAATTTTAGAAATGTAAGAAACTATAATAATTTACAACCGACACCATTTAGAACAGATTATTTAAAAAACAAATAATCATATAGCGTTTTTAATAGTAGCGAGTTTCATCAACCTCAGTTAGATTAATGACGTTACATGTTCTACTATTGGTTGATGTTGCATGCTTTACATGTTAAATCTATGTTTCAGATACAACGTTTAGTCCTCGTGCCATCGTTGCTGCGTTCGTTGCTCATGTATTTAGATTTACAAGTGAGTATACAAAATTATATTGCATGTATAATTTGCAGTATAAACTTACTATAAAAAAGGTAAAAGAAGCTCTATAAGAATATGTATTGCTCGAAAAGAGCTGTTGTACCTACTAAGTTAAAAATTTTTGAATTTAATTGTTTGAATTTAATTGATACCATGAACAATTATCCGGTGTCGTCTGATGCACTTTTATTATACAATCTAAGTGCAATCGATCAGTTCAGCCCTTATTAAAATAATCCGATGATCGTGTTACTGAAAAATTCGATGGCTCGCATAAAGATAGATACATAGTTGGTCTCGCACTATCGCAAGACGCGTCCTCTTAACGCCAAGATACTACCGTGTCTTTTAATCAAAAGATATGTATACTTGTTTTTATTACATAAATTTCTCGGAAACTAATCTTAATTTTATGTAACATTTATACGAAACGTTAAAAACGACATTCTTTCCCTTTACCCAGTGAGAAATGATAACGGAATCGACATCGAATCGATGTCGATTCGACGTCAATCATATCAAATTGTATCGACGTCGATTCCATTGTCATTTCTCAATGTAGTTCTTGACCATTAAAATGAATAGTTTTGAATACTTCATAATAATAATAATATAATACATTGTGCATCAAATTTAATAAATAATAAGACATAATAATGTTTTCCTTTAACACTTGTGAAAATTTTAAATGTGCTTGTTTTAACATTTTAACATTAGCTCAGACATATTTGATAAGTTTATCCGTCATGGTAAAGCAAATTACAGAACATAATATATATACAAAGAAATTAAATAAATAAAAAGCAATTAATATTGTAATGTGTACACACACAATTCAGTGACTCCCAAATCAATTCTGTCTCGCGACTGAGAAATTTTTTTACAAATAAATATAAGTTGCTCTCAAAAATTATGCAACACAGATTATAAGAATTTTATTAAATGTTTAATTAACAAAAGTTACCTTGCTGAGGTATCTTATTAATAAGGAGATCTTAATTATCCTAATTATTCTAAAAACAGAATGTGCTAATTATCCTAAGCGGCTTAGAAAATTTCTACGGCATTATCGTTATCTTACAATCCATCTTTATATTAAAATACAGCGTAAACATAATTTTTATACTGTTATCATAGCTTAAAACACCTGAGATCTATAATTTGTACGTCACAAGAATAACGTTCACGCCTCGTAACATCTTAGATTGAATATACGATCTTTTTTTGTATAGAATAATGACAACGTTCTAGGGCACTTAAAACTTTGGATCTGTTCCGGGGAAATTTTGTCAGTAGTTCTGGTAGACCAATTTTTTGCCACTTTTAACAGTGAAGATAAGATTTTAGCTAATTTCTATGGTAGCACGGAAGTCACGGCTGATGTTACGTATTATCTATTAAGCAAACGGACACAATTACAAGGAATGGAAAAAGTGCCAATCGGTAAGAATAATTCTCACTCATCAACATGTCAATGATGTACTAATGAACATTTCTTATCCAATGAAATAATAAAGTTTAATAAACAAATAAAATAGTACAATAAAAAATAATAAAATAACAAAATATTTGATAAAGTAATGTAACAAAGCATTTATTAGCGTTTAATTAGTACTAAGCTAATAATTATATAAAATTCCATTTTAGTGAATTATTACTAATAAATATAATAATCGGTAAACCACATTTACATTATTCGCTATGTCTTTGCTGCAGGAAAACCGATTGATAACTGCATGATTTATCTGATAAACAAGGATATGCGAGTGGTTCCCCAAGGGGACATCGGAGAGTTGATCGTGGCTGGAAGAAACGTTGCAGCAGGTTATATACGCGAACGAGACACACATAAATTTTTAGACAATCCTTACACTATCGATCCAGGTGAGAAAAGAAAATAACAATAAGATCGAACGCTACGTCTTTTAAACTTGAATTCACCGCAACATATAAATTCTGCTATTCTATAACAAGCAATAATTAAAGCATTGAGATTTCCTTGCATGACATTAAGATTTGGAATAATGATTTGGATATATATTTCACATTAAAAAATGTGTTGATTTTTGTCTACAGAGTATTCGAGAGTCTTTTGTACGGGTGATTATGCTAAAATTGTCAAAGGGTCGATAATTTATGAAGGACGAGTGGATTCACAGATCAAAATTAAGGGTCACCGTGTCGATCTCACGGAAGTTGAAAAAGCGATCGTCAAAATACCCGATATCGATAACGTTGCGGTTCTTTGTTACAAACCCGGCGAATTATCACAAGTAAATATTTCAATATACAATTTGACAAGTGTGTAAATAAAATATACTTGTACAAAAAATCACAAACAATAACTCCTTCAAAATTTCCATAATTATCTAAACCTCTTTTTGTTAATGAGCATACTACACGTTTTTTTTCTTTTTAATCACTTTAAATATAAAATCAATCATTAAAAAATTTTGATTGTCGTCATTTTGCATGTTACAGTACAACTTATCAATTGAATATCGATATTTCATAAATCGAATAATATTAAAAACAATATTTCACTGAAGTTTCATGATTATTAAACTCGTTTCTTTCATGAAAACTTATTCGTATATTTTAAAAGAATTATTTTTAAATTACAAAAGCTGCCAATATTAAAAATTATTTATGAAAATTAAGCATTTCAATAGATTTAAATTTATTTGTATAGATATATTTTTATATGTTAAATGTTTAGACATTAGTAGCTTTCGTTACTATTATGGATGGGACAAATTTATCTAGTTCGGAAATCGAAAATTTTCTTCATAGGACTCTTCC